ACTTTAGCAAAGAATTAGGACCTATAGACAGAGGAGAGAAAGATATAGACCCAATTCAGTAGACATAAGGAATTTTCTAACAATTAGAGAAATCCAGTAATTGGAGGGGAGACATAATGAAATAATGAGTTTCCCATATTTAGAAGCCTTCAAGCAGAAGGAGGGTGACCATCTGTCAGAAATGTTATAGAAGGGATCCCTACATGGGTGGGAGGTTGCCCCAAAGCTGCCTCTTAGATTCCTTCCAACTCAAAGATTCTAAATTATTGAAAACAGCATGAATAAAAGATCCAGACCCATTCAAGAACTAAATTATTCAACAAAAGGTAATAGAACTTTTGGCTATGAAGTTGAATCAACTAGACTTTGGGTGCCAGCCATTCCAATTTACTAGGAAAACAGATACAAATGATTATTTTTAAATTACATTAAAATGAATTTCACAAGGAAACACACCACCCGAAAAAAACATTTCTAAAATTCCTCTCCAAATTTGATCAGTATGTTCACATAATTTCACTTCTGTCAAATTTCTTCACCAAGCTGAACAAAGCTAAGTTTTACATTATTCTTTTTACCTTTCCTGCTCCTGGGAAACAGGAGAGCTGAGTGTCTTTGCTATTAGCAAGCTTCACTTCTTCACTGAACATTATATTAAATGTGTTTATCACAGGAATACAAAATCTTCATTGTTACCATTTTAAGGCCTTATACATTTCATTGTGTTAGTATACCACAGTTTACACAGCCATTTCCTTACTGGAGGGCATTCAGGCTTTTTTCAACTTTACATAATAACTCTGCCTTTAAACACTTTTATATGAACATCTTTTTTCCCTCTTTTTAATTATTTCCTAGGTCTGGGGTTAGTGGGCTAAAGGGCAAGGATATTTTTATGGTTCTGAATATGTACTGTGGAAAGAATGTTATCAGGTTGCAGCAATGCCAGAGCAATAACTAGGTTTAACCATTTCCCTAAAGCATTATTGCAGTTAAGTTTTATTCAACATTTTAAAAATTGCTAACATATATTGAGTGGTACTTGATAATTGTTTACATTTGCATTTTTTTCTCTATAGTAAGAATAAACTTCTCAACTCTTTTTGTTTGTTTGTTTTTAAGCAAAAACACAACTCTTAACCTACATTCCTATGACATGGAAAGAACTCAGCAATGCATGTGGATGCAGAGAAGTCACACCAAATTAAAGGGATAAAACAGCGTTAAAATAACCAGATTAGGTGCAAGATGGAGTTGCTCATGCTAAGTCCCATGTTAGCAAACCAAAACTTAACTCAGTTTGTGTGCTGGCTTTCCCAGGGAAGGCAGGCCTAGGGTAATTGATCAGACTTGACTGCCCAGAGCACATTACTTAACCCCACTCTAAGATTTCCCTTTGCTCCATATAAGAGAAATAACCCTGGTTTAACCAACCAGCAAATGTCCAGTACAACTTCAATGTTCCTGTTCACTTTGGTCTATAAACCGTCTTGAATTGTACAGTTCTTTGGTACTACTTTCAATCTGCTAGGTTGTAAACTGCTTAATTCATGGATCACTGAATAAGGCCAATAAGATCCTTAAAATATACCCAGTCAAATTCTGTTCTTCAGCAAAAGGTAGGATAAAAATTAATTCCAAGAAGGGCAATTTCTCTTCCCCATGAGATGGACTCTCTGGGAAGGCTAGAGAACATTGAGCAAGCACGGGTTCAACATCCTTGATGTAGCTTCCTGAAATTGAAGGAATGCTAAAGAAAGTAAGGATTCTCCAGTAAGTTCCTTTTCCTTTAAATTCATGTATGTGAGTTTAAAAGAAGCCGTATTTTTTCCTGGGATTTTGGTTAAGATTCCAAATGTCTCAAAAATAATTCCCCATACCAAAGACTCTTGTAACCAGGAAAGAAGCAGATTAAAAAAGAAAATCACATGAGAAGCAAAACTTAAAGCACAGGAAGCATATAATGAAATAACATCATAATATGTAAAAAATCAAACTGAAAAATGAAGTGTGGCATAGTTTCCACAAATAAATGCATTTGCTTTCCTAAAATTATATTACCGAGTACTGATCACTTTCATTAGCTCATTTTTCCCTCTAGAAAGATGTACAGAGTGGAAAAACACTTAAAGGTTTTAAAGGTGTGAAAGGGGAAGATTAAAAGTCTTTGTTCCCACAGCAACTGCGTAAGACACAATTGCACTAAACATGCCACTCCTTAGAAATGCATGTTTCTTGCCATTTATTAAATTCCTAGGAAAACTCAAGGTAAAAAAACTAAAAAAATCACAACTAAACTACCCACAACTCAAGACTAACATGCATAGTTGCCTAGATAATCACAATTTCTATTTCCCACAGGATAATCACAATTTATATATCCCATAGGAAACTGGCAGTAATAGCTTAATGTGTGTATTATTCATATTGTGCAAAACAGTGAAAACAACTCTCCACTCCCATAAGATGTGCTTGAATGTGTGTTAAGCTGTGATGTAACATGAATAATGTCTTTTGTGTAAATGCTATTAGATTTTTTTTATGCAATTCCTTAAATCTCCAGGAAAGACCAAAATCTCTATGAACAAAAGAAATTCATTCACTAAATGAAACGTGGACAATACTAAGAAAAAGAAAAGGTTCTGCCATCAGTCCAAGGAGAGAATCAAAGGATTCTGGCCACCCTTTGGTGACAGTTCTTGTCTTTGGACAGGAGAAACAGACTAGAATTCAAAAGAGAATAAAAGGGAAGCTTCTTAAGAATAAGGATGTAGGCCTGGCCTAAATGCCTAGTGATGTTAAATAAATACCTGCTAAAATGACCGAATAAATATGCTTCCACTCAAGAAGAAGCCTAAATCTCCAAAAGTCTCAACAGTATGTTCTAGATCAAAGGACTTCTATTAAGATTTGTCTCCTAAATTGAACAAAGCTCATCTTTGTACTATTCTTTTTCCTTGCCCCACTATATATATATATCTGTGCCTTCTGAGTCTTCATGCATACAAGTAGTTTTTGTTCACTCTGTATCTCTGAAGAATGCACAGCCACTTGACTTATCAACTTATCAGACACAAGCCAAAAGAGGGAGCACTTCAAAATATCCCATAAGTTCGATGGAGTCGGCAGTAAAAGGCTGATGTTCAACATATCACTACATATAACCCTAAAGTTTTATTTAACAAGTATATTAGGTCAATTTTTATAAGAATACTACTAAGAGTCAAAGCAAAATTTCAATCATGAAAATGCTGTCATTACAGAAAAGCCACGAGGCCCATTAGGGAATGTTTTTAGGTTCCCATGGTGACATTTGTTTCTGATTATACACATAATATTAAATGTGTTGCTCTGAGTTTTGTTTTTTTTAAAGGCTTTTAAGAAAGGAAGTAAACCAGATTCATTTAATTTTAATTTGTGATCTCCAAAGGCACATTTTATAGTTTTACAGTCCTGAACTACCAAAATCAGGAAGCAAAGGTCTTAAAAGGCTTTAAGTTCCTATTTTAATTCCCTCTCTGGACATGAAGACACTTTAATAAAGCATCCCAAATAACTATTATTCTTCTCCATACCTAGGCATATTGACTCTCCATTGACAAATAGCCTGATCATTTATCTATGTAAGAGTTTATCATTTTCTCAATGTGCAGGTAAGAGATACATAAAATTTGTTATTTTATGTAAATATCCCTCAACTTCCATTTAGCAAAATGGGTAGTGTGTTTTCCAATACCAGCAAGCAGTTAACCAAATTCTACTTTCATCTACCTAGTGATAAGATCATGGATCTCACAGGTTATGGGCTCTTTTCTACAAGACTGACCCCACCCCCACCCTTTAGATGGCAATCCCAAGTCTAGGTTACCTGTGCTTCTAACCAAGGAGCTATAAATTGGAGGTTCCCATGAGTCCTTCCTCAGTTTGATAAATTTGCTGGAAAGGCTCACACACCCCAGAGAAATATTTGCTTACTTCTACTAGTTTATTATAAAGGATACAGATGGACAGCAAGATGAAGAGGTACAAAAGATCAAGGTTTATGTAGGAGGAGACCCAGAGCTTCCATACTCTCACTCTCCCGGAATCTCAATGCTTTTACCAACCCAGAAGCTCTCTGAAACCTGTCCTTTTGGGTTTCTTTGGAGGCTTCATTACACATACATGATTAATTAACTTGACCATTGGTGATTAATTCAAGCTCCTGTTCCTCACTCCTCTGGGGGTGGGACTGAAAGTTCCAACCCACTCATCACAAGGTTAATTCTCCCAGCAACCAGCAACCACCAACCACCGTTTGGTTATGTAGGAGATTTCCAGTCAATAGTCACTTGATAAGCGTAACAAACCTTTATCACTCTCCTCACTTACTAAATTCCAAGGTTTGAGGAGCTCTGTGCCAGGAATGGATATGAAGACCAAATACATATTTGTCAATAGTACAAATACCAAGAAAGCACTTAACAGAGATCAACAAAGACACAGTTTTCAAAGAGATACTAGAGAGGAGACAAAGGAACAAAAAAGACCAAGGAATTACTGCAAAGGATGGATGCTACTCAGTACAGGTAGGGGCAGCACACCAGGGCCCAGAGGGACCCCACTGAAGAGTGTAACTGTGTGGAGTTTCTCTCACACACACACTAACATGCTTTCCTCTCTTGCTCACAAACCCATTCTCTTACACACAGCCTCACACACAATTCCTCATGCACACATGGTCTCTTACACATACAATGGTTTGTTTATACACGATGTCTGTTATGTAGAGTCTCAGTCTCTCTCACACACTGTCACAGTTTCATACCCACAGCTTCTCTCTCCATCATACACGATCGGTCTGTTTATGTACATAAGGGTCTCTCACAAACCCGCGGGGGCATATGAGCACCCTCCGCTCGCAAGTCTCCCACTCACGCTCGCGTTGGCCCCGCCCCCCGAGTGGGCTCCGCCCCGAGGTCGGGGCGGGGCGAGCCGGTGACAGGAGGGGCCGGGCCAGGCTGGTACTTCTGGCGTCCCGGCCCGCGGGGCGCCCTCCGGAGGCTTCTGTCAGCGACGAGCTCGGCCGGTTCCAGGGCGGCCCTCGAGCAGCGGCCGCTGCTTCGCGCTTCGCGCCTTGGCCCCGCCGGTGGCCGTCCCGGGAGGCGGCGACGGGATGTGCTCAGCGGGGGAGCTGCTCGGCGGCGGCGGCGACAGCGGCGGGGACCGCGACGAGGACGGGGACGCGCTGGCTCAGCGGGCGGCGACGGGGACCGGTCGGGAGTCCGGGACCAGCGCGCGGCGGCCCGGGCGGCGGCCGCAGGAGGAGCGCGAGCAGGTGAGCGGGAGGCGCAGCGCTGTCCGGCGCGCTTCCCGGCCCCGCCCGGCCGCGGAGGGAAGTGGCGGGGCGGCAGGGCCGCGGCCGGGCTCCGCGCGGCGTGCGGCGCTCGGGGAAGCCGCCCGGAGGAGCGGTTGGCCGGCGGGCTCGGGTCGCCCGTGTGCCGCGGCGAGTGCCGGCGCGGGCGTCGCGTGCCTGGCGGGGTCAGCACGGCCCTTCCCGTGCCGCGGGGCAGAGGGATTTCAGGCCGGCGCCCGGGGCTCTGTGGAAGCGCCTTCCACAGCAGTCACTTACCTGAAAGCCTTACAAGTAAATTCTTTTTCAACTTGAAGTCCACAGCCCTGCGCAGTTTTAGGGGACAGCTGCTCCCCTCCCGCCCTCCATCTTGGCACTTCTGGGCACACACCTAGCGTCTCCGGGAGGTGGGGGTGTATTCCTACAGACACGCAGGGTCTGAAGGCAAGTGTGGGAGCGAGTATTACAGTAAATGTCTTGACAGGAACTCTCCGAGATCAGGTACTTCACACGAACACAAGATCTAAACCTAAATTCATTTTAAAAGTGAAAAAGCAAGAAAATTGCTTTCAGTCTGTACCAAAGGGAAAGAAGTATAAGAGGCCAGCCGTAATAGGGAAAAGAGAAGTTGGGTAATTTTGGAAACTAAATATGCCCTCTCACTAATGAAGTGTGCAAATGGCACTGTGACACACCAAATATCTTCAAGATTAGGCAAGAAATAAAAGGAATTGAATTATATGTGAGGGGAATTTTCACCAGCGAATACAGTAATTAGACCTTCAGAAATATTTAAGATAAGCCAGTTTTTAGAGTTTAAATGATTATTTGCCTTTATTACAACCTGTAGTATTGGGACAGTAAGCTGATGCCTGTTTCCTCTCATTATTCTCCATCTGTTCTTTTTGTCACATTTCACAAACTGATAACATCACCAAAGGCATTAATAGATTGTAAATTCTATTATTTCAACATTTTATTTAGGAAATGGAAATAACAGTGTGTAGCACACACAAAAATATGCCTTAGTATTAAGTTTGCTCACCAGGTGGAAGTGGAATTGTTCATGCCTATGACAATGTAAGAGATAGTGACTGAAGCAAACAAGTAACTAGGAGATCTTCCTGTATCCACCCCCTCCCCCCAACTATACCATGACTCAGTAACTAAAGGCCTAGTTTCCTCTTATTAGTTTTTCAACTGGAAAAGTGAAGAAAACAGCAACAGGAACTCCTCTGGGGATGGGGTATGTTTGAACTGAGGCTCCCAAAGTAAATTTGCAAATGTTTGTAAGGAAGCATAGAAAATACTTAATATAAGCATCTGTGTATCTTGCATTATCAGTAGCTCTGGTCTTACCAAAATTGCTTATGGTAAAATGAATGAAATGAAAATGGATGAAACAAAAAAGGAATGAAACCTTTATCCTAGAAAACAGATACCACTTTGCATACCCTGCTTCTTTCATTGCATGTCACGGAAATTCATTTTCCTGTAGTTAAACTTATTTTATTTTTTATCACGATTTATTTACATACTCTAAGCCTACATACACAAGTAGCTGAAAATTACACTTGAGATATGCATTTCCTCCTATATCAGCACTAAAGAAGAATTTATCAAGATGCCAAAAAAAAAGAACTCAAAATCTGTGCAATCCAACCCATTTGTGTAAGAAGCAAGCTTTTGTGATCAGTAATTTCTTGGTAGTATTATCCCAAAGTCTTATTTTTGAGCTTTTTTCCAAGCCCTGCATATGAAATTCAGAATTTGTATGCAGGGCCTTGCATTAGTGGTAGAGATAACTATCATCATAGTAAACTACCATCATAGATAAGAGATACTTGAGAGAGAGGTACATAAATTTAACAACTATAAAACATATCCAAAGGAATTGTTTTATTTAGGTTTTCTTTAGGGGAGGCATGTTTTGTTGCATTAAGGGCAAATAGAGTCCAAATTACAAATGGAATATTTTTGAAAACTTGGATCGTAAACTTGTTATTTAAAACTTAAAGTGAATTTTTCCATAGGAACAATGATGTAAAGAGAAACATGAACACTGATCAGTTGGGAATGAGGCAGAGGCCATCTTCCTGCTGTCCTTTCTGCTAGCATACTCCCCTGATGATGTCCAGAGTTCCAGTGGCCTTGTGGGTGTTGAGAGGGAATTGGCGGCATGTGCAGCAGCAAGAGCCCCTTTGTGTCTGGATCAGGGCTGTGGTAGTGCACTGAATGCAGGAGCTCCAGAAGGCATGTGACTTGTTCCTCCAGCTCTTTGAATGATTTTTGTCAGCCCCTAATTTTCTGTATTAAATCCCTTTCTACTTCTATTTCCTTCACAGACTTTTGCCCTCGCCTGATTATTTGATAAAGCAGGTTTCTTCCATTCGTTATTCCTCAGGCCAAGGGCTCCTCCACACGCATCCTTTTCTTCACTGATTTTTTTTCCACTCCTGTCTGAAAGGCTCGTGTCCTTTCCTCAACTTGGAAGCCTCATGCATCAACTTTGTCTATGCAAAATCTACCTTTGGCTCATTATTGTCATGATACCAGGTCAAATGTTTTGTCACTTATTTCATGTAATACTAAATATTAATATAGGTGTTTGCTTAATAACTAAGATACTGTCAGCATTATTTTTTATAATTTGTCCTTTAAATGCTACTCCATCCTCTGTCCTTGTGGCCTTAGTCTTTCCAGGTACTATGATGACAAATGAGGCCTGGTTAAAATCAAGTATCCTAGAAAAGGAGGAATTGAAAGAATGGACCAAGTCCTTTAGATGAAGAAACTGTGTCAAGTTTGAAGTAGCAGTCAGGCCCCTAGGAGAAAAGCAAGGGAGAGAGGCAAAATGCCCAAAGAACTGAAGGGACTGGGCACAGCCATCCTACATGTGTGTTGGTAATTGAATCCATGAGAGATGATCAAAGTATGTTCATGTCTGTGAACGCTGGGTGGCTTTATGTGAGAGAGTCTCTGCCCTACTGCATAACTGGAAGGCTAAATATCTCCAGTCCTTTTATTCTATATCTATAAGGTGAATACCATCTGCTTAGATGTAGCAGTTCACAACCTGAATAACCTAAGATGGCCCTGCTTACCTAGAGCATAGAGCAGTCTTATTATTCTTAGATTGACTTTAGAATCCTTAAGTTCTTTATCATTATAAAAGTAATGTGTACCTTGGAAACAGAGAAAAATATATAGAAAGATCTAAATAATAGTATATGAAGTCCCACTCTTAAGTAATGTCTTGTTATAAAATATCAAATGTTTGGTATTAATATATTCATGTATCTCTCTGTATATGTGTATATATATATATATGCATATATACACATAGATATATTTTAGCATATGTTAGCTCCTTCATTTACCCCACCTTCCCTCTCATCATCTTCTCTGGTTCCCTGCTTGTTCCTCTCAACTCACATCACAGAACTGTATTTTTAGTACATATAATTTTCAGGTTTATAGAATAAATGTTGTTTATTGAATAAAGTATCAAGATTTCATAATCTAAAAATCAGCTAAGCATTTCACATTTCTCTTAAAAAAACTAATCCACCAACCTAAATTATGTTGTTTTTTTTGTGTAAACCTTCAGTTGACTTATTTTTCTTGCTGTAGATTACTATTCCTTGATAGGAAAAATAATACCCACGCTCCTCTCTACAATTTACTCTCACATTCCTAGTCAAGAGAGGTGGTGTAAAGCAAGGTTAAAGGGAAAAAACAAAAGTACCATGAAGTTAGCCTCATTAATGTAAAAACTCTGTATATCATTATTCACACTTTTTTTAAGCCTTAGCCACACTACTTTCAGTTTCTTTCTTCTCTGGAGTTACAATCTTATCCTCCATAACAGCCACATATCTTCAAAAACCTTGAGAGTCTCTACTAGTCATGTTTTGGCTCAGTAAGTACGTTGTGAGTGTGCCTGCCTGGGTGCATGTGTGTGTTTGTGTTTAAGGGAATTGGTAAGATAACCAAAGAGCAGTTTTAAGCATAGAAACTGAATTTCTAATAATTTGATGCAAAATATATTTTCTGTCTTTCATCTAATTTTTTCCCATATCCTGTGTTGTTGTTTTTCTTTTTTTTTTCCATTTAACCTCATTGACAGCTATGCCTTATCTTGGCATAGGAAGAGGAAGTGATTGGCTTTATTTGCTGTTGCTGTTTTCTTATGGCAACAGCTATCAGAGTTCTGTTCAAAGTGAAAGCATAGTGCAATTGTTTGAACTTTATGGAAAATGAAGGATAAAATTATTATTAATACTATCTCAGGTTGGGGTGGATGATTAAAATAAGTAAAGGAGATAAAGGCAAGAAATCTCAAATTGTATAAATTAGTCATGGATGAAAGTATAGAAGAATACATTCAATAATACTGTAATATCTTTTAAAGTTGACAGTAACTACCTTTATTGGTGTGAGCATTTAATTTTTAAAAATAACTTAATATCTGAACACAGTGTTAAGAAATTTAAAAAATTTAAGTTCCATTTGTGGTTTTTACTATATTCTCTGACATAATTTTTCCTAACATCTGTTTTTATTCTCTCTTCCAATTAATCAAAACAAAGATTTCTGTTTTTATTCTCTTGATCCAAAATTTACTTGGATATATGCAGACTATCTACAGAATCAGGGAATTTAAGTTTGACTGTTCTTAACAGAGATATTTTATCAGTCTGCTTGAATTCTAAATTCCTTATTCCATGGTTTCTAGAGGTAATAACATATTACAGAAGCTGTTGTCACTGCCACAAACTCAGAATTGAGAAGGAAATTCATATTTAAAGGAAAGATGTTTGACTTTGGCTACTTTCAATAGACAAGCTATTTCATCTTATTTATACCTGTACATACAAGGTACTCAGTAATACCACCAGACTTCAATTCTTAAAAAAAATAAGTCAATTTTAATAAAAAGTAAAAAATGTAGACATTTTTAACCTGAAGCTGGAATTAATCAT